GTCGCTGCGCGCCCCCTCCATTCCCTCCCTCACCCCCCAACGGTCGCGGCGCGCCCCTCCACGCCGCCGTCCAACGGCCGCCCCGCGAGGGCCGCCCGTGCCCGCGCCGGCGCCGCCGCGGGCTCACCCAGCACCAGCACCATCTGCCCGCAGAGGCAGTAGTAGACGTGCAGCGGCTTCTCGCCATCGTCGTACTCCTCGCGGTCGCGCGTGTCGGAGCACACCACGGAGCGCGACACCACCTTGGGCATGGCGGCGGGCGGGCGGAGCTGCCCCCGCGCCGCCCCGCCGTCACGGGGGGAAGGGCCGGCGCCGCGGCAGTCGCCGAGCGGGGCCGGCGGGAGGCGTCAGCGGGCTGCGGCCGCCGCGCTCCGGGCGGCGAGGGAGCGGAGCGGAGCGGGCCGGCTCTGCAGCGCGGCCCATGGCGGCCGCACCGCACGGCAGGGCCGCGCCTCGAGACGTTGCTCGGAGAGCGACAAACGGCCTCGGCTCCTCCGGGCGCCGCAGGCAGCGGGGCGGGAAAGGCGGCCGAGGCCCTTCCAAAGAGCTGGGGCTCCGTCACCTGCAGGCGAACAGCCGCTGCCTGCACTCCGGAGCACAGGAAACAGAACAACATCTCACCCGTGGACATCAGTAGCTCATCCATTTATTACTCCTCAGTCCCAACAAGAGTAGCAAAGACCAAGAATAAGACCTTTATTGTTATTATTTTCTCCATGCAGTCACAGCTGTAGTTTCTATGTCTGGCAAGATGTAGCTGTTCCTTTCTTTCACCTCACTGCTTCTGTTAACGGTAATGAGTCTTCTGCCCGTGGTTTAAGCCTCCTCCCACATAACTGCATGACCGAAGTTTACAAAGCCAGAGCCTAGCCTTTCTATTCTGGGCAGCAGCAGGGAATTTTTTCACTCTCCAGGGATACAGGAAAGGCAGAAGGGGGATTATTTCCTCCTAGAGAACTCGTCAAGGGCAGAGAAGGGGGCACAGCAGGTGGGGGGCAAGGAGCCCCCCGCTKTGCTCTCGCTGTTATTAACGGCAGTACCGGAGACACCCACGAACACCCACCCGCGCTGCACCAGCGCCCAGTGCAAATGGAGGCGCTGAGCGGCGCCGGGGGCGGGGCCCGCCCGTCCCACCGCAGCGCCCCCGCGGGGTGGGCGCGAGCCCCGCTCTGTGGGCGCCAAGGCGGCCCGCCCTCTGCCCATGACGTCAGCCGGCGCGTTCCGCCCCCGCGCGCGGCGGGCGTTGGTGCCGTCCGCGGTGCCGTAGCCCCGCCCTTCGCCCCCTCGGCCGCGGTGGTAGCGGCGGCTCCAGCGGCATCCGGCTCCGCCCCCTCGCGCACTTGGTACGGCCCGCACCGCCGGGCAGCAGCGCAGCAGCCGGCGCAGCCCGCGCCCCCCTCCCCGCGCCGGCCCGTGGTAGCGGCCGCGCTCGCCGCCCGTCCCCAGCGCCGCCGCTCGCAGCCCGCTGCCGCGTCCGCGGGCAACGCGTCTCGCCCCGCCGTGGTGCATGAGTGATCCGTACCCCTGCGCCCGCCATGTCCACCCCGGCCCGTAGGCGCCTCATGCGGGACTTCAAGAGGTACCGAGGCGGCTGGCGGCGGGAGGGGAGCGCGGCGGGGACGGGCTCGGCGGCGCCGGCGGAGGAGGGGGCCAGCACAACATGGCGGCGGGGCAGGGCGCGCTCCGCTGATTGCGTAGCGCTGGGCCGCGCCGCCCGGCAGCGGGTTACGCCGTTTGCGCAGCGGCGCGCGGCTCCCTGCGCGGGCTACGCCGAGTGCGCAGGGCGCGGGGAGGCGGGCAGGGCGGCTGAGGCTCCGTGCGCCCCGCAGGCTGCAGGAGGACCCGCCGGCCGGCGTGAGCGGCGCGCCCTCCGAGAACAACATCATGGTGTGGAACGCCGTCATCTTCGGGTGAGCGGGGCCGGGGGCGGCGCGGGCGCGGGGCCGGGCTAGGCCGCGGGTAACGCTCTGCTCTGCTTCTTCCCCCCTGCAGGCCCGAGGGGACCCCCTTCGAGGACGGTGAGTGCGGCCGGGGCGCCGCGGCCTGCCCGGCCGGGCCCTGCTGGGTGGCAACAGGTTGGGCCTGGGCGGAGGGGGCAGCGTGGGGGCCCCCTCTGACACTCTGTCCCGTCCCTTGGAAAGCGTGGGGTTGGTGCAGAAGGCTGCCCTCATCTACAGAAACATGTAAAYGAGCCTGCAGGCCTGGATTTATGAAAATGCCCAAATTAGCCCGCAGAGGGTTGCTCAGAACCACCATCAGGCTCCCCTTGGTTGGAGCTACTGTGCTGTTCTAAGGATATCTGAGCATTTTTGTTGAGTTCTGGGCCGTGTTTTCAGAGAGGCGTAGTTGGAGCACTGCCAAAAACCTGCTAGAGATCTGATATCATTAGGAATGATTTATCCTGAGTTGTGGCTTCTTGATGCTGAAAAGGCTTCACAAGTAAGCCCCAGGGTGAGGCAGGTAACGTAAGGAAACGGGCTGGGTCTTTGAGGAAGTCCAGAATAGAAGTTTATTTTCTTGCTGTCTACCTTACTCTGCTACAGTCAGTGTCATCCAGGGTTCCCACCGTGCAKTGCTTGTTTCTGTCTCGCTTACTCTCTTTTATAATTCAGCTGATGCTCTAGGAGTGTTTCAGCATCTTTTGTAAAAAACAAACAAACAAACCCCCTCAACTTGTTAGACATGAAATATCATCTAACTGAAATCTCTGTGTGTTTGTGTGTATTTAAATATGTAATACAGACTTTCACTGCAGGACTATAATCCTAGATCTTCATGACTCATGATAAAAGCATAGGAAAAACTCTTCAACTCTCAAGTTGTTCTTGGCTGACTCCATTATCCCTGGTAGCACTTACAGACAAACTAGTAAATTCTGAATCTTTTAAGTGAAATTTTTGATTATTGGAGTATTTCTGGCCTGAGACTCCCCCCCCCCCTTTTTTTTTCTCTCCATATGTGATTATACAAGAAATTTGGCATAGATGCCGTTTCAGAAGTCTTAATGCAGCGTGTAACTTGAGTATTTTCTAAGAAATAGCACAGAAGTGGCACAAATGTTTTCTAAAATGTCATCTTGCAAGTTTAAGGATTTTCTTAAACTTCACAGAAGTTTGTTAGCGCTCCCTGGCTTCTTGGTACACTGCCACTAATATTGATGGGAGTGATTAGCTCTTTGGGGGTCCTCTCTTTCCAGTGGACCTGGTAAATTGCAGTTTGTTTCCATGTTCAGTCAATTCTAGTTCGGGACAAGACCTGTGAATGTTTATAAGGCTTTTTCTGTATATATCCAGTTACTTGCTGGAGACTGGAGACTGCTTCTGAGGCCCTGACCTATTGATTATGTCTGTGGCTTTCCATTATGGTCATGTAGTGCCTTAATCTCATGTACTTAGGGCCTCTTGCACTCACAACTGTTTGAAGTTTAAAACTGCTGAGAGGAAGGAATTAAAACTTGGCAGGAAGGAATTGGCCCTGCTTTGTGACGCTGGATTTGCGGGGCCAGTCTTGCTCCTTGCAGCTGGAAGGGTGAGGCTGGGATGCTCAGCCAGCCTAGAGTCATGGGGAAGCCTCCTTTTAGCCCTACTAAAATCTCAGACCCTAAAACAGAAGAAGCAGAGCTACAAGATCAGTGCAAGATGGGAAAGAGAATGCTCTCCTAATAACGGATGTTAATTATCATGTAATAATGATGGTGAATGCTATGCTTTTCCTTTTAAAACTGGCTGACTTGAATAAGTTGTGAGACTCACCAATTAAATTGTGAAACTAATGACAGGAGAGCTGTGGACACTGCAGGCTCATCCCCAGTGTTGYGTGTCCTGACACCCTTTTTCCTGGTGCAGGCTTTAGATGTGAGTGACCCTGAGGTTTGCTTCAGTTMATCTCTGGAATTGTCCTTCGGTAATGCCAGATAACAAGGTGTTGGACACTGTGGGAGCTCTTGAAAGGAACCACTGCTACTCTCCGTCCTGCTTGGGAAYCTGAGCACCTAGATAGTCCAGCTAGAACTGTCTACCTGCTCAGTCAGGTCACTGTTGAATATAATGCACTGTCCATAGAGGAACAGATGGCTTCTCTGTTCTCAGTAGTTCCAAATGAATTGTAAGACCAGACTGCCCTTGGTGCTGCTTTCCGTCTGTCGTATCTGCCCCGCTCTGCTCCTGCTGCAGTCAGTGCTGTGGAACAACTTCCATCTTCTCAAGTGTGCTTGTTGACCCCACTTGATGGTTGGTACTCACTTCTCAGCGTGCTCCTTGCCTGCTCACTCTTTCACAGACAGAAGCATCTGCTTTAGTACTTGACGAACAGGAGGATCCTGAGTGCAGAGCTAGTGCAGGGACAGTTAGCAAGGTCTCTCCATCTGATTCTAGACTGCTGATATTGCTTGTAACCATGTATGGAAGGAAAGATGGTCTTAAACTGACTGCCTGCAGCTGGCAGAAGTTGTTACTGAACTCTCCAGGGTTGCCTTTCAAGCTGATCTAAAAGCATCTGCCTTAGTCAGACTTGAAATCAGCACTGCAGACTAGCCTTGATTTGAGTGATTGTAGTGCACAGATGTTGCTTGATGCCTGAGCGAGGCTGTTCTCATTCCCTTTGCAGTAAGATGTTGTTCTGCTCCTGCCCGTCGTTAGGCTAGTAATAAACAGCCAGTGCACAGAGCTTGCTTTTGGTCTGTTTCAGAGCTTTGTGTCCAGCAGTGGAACAGAGGAAAGCCTCARCATCTGTGCTCTGTCTTACGTACTGGAACGTCAAAGCAATGACCTTTATTTCTTATAATTCAACTTTGTAGCTTATCTGCTTATAAAGGGAGGCATCCCTGAAGATACTGTTGACCCTTACTGATAGAAAGGAGAGGGCTTGAATATCTGTTTTCCAGCCACCAATCTGTTCTCTGGCACGTTTGTCAGCCAAATGATGGGATACCTTGCATTAGACAAGAGCTGGGAAACTTTGTGACAGTATTCAGCAAGGAGGAGCTTTATTAGAACTGCTGACCACCAAGACTTCAAAAAAAAAAAGTATTAAAAGTGTTAAATTCTCTATGGCAGATTCTTAGAGCTCTTACAATAAGTTACTTTACAGAGAGAGAATTCTTTATAGGAAGATGCTTCAAATATTCCTCCCTTGGCATAGCCAAACACTTCAATGAAGAGTTCTTTAATGCATAGTTCTTTAAGTAGTGACTTGAATGGCTAGCAGTGCTTTTAGCTTACTTGACAGACTCTTTATTCTCAGATTGTCATAGCCTGAAAAAGGGGGCTAAATAACTTGCAC